ACTTTGATAAATCATTTTATATTACATTTTGGTCCTTTTATATATTTTCTTTTCTTCAATAACCTGTTGCTAATTAAGAGAATAGATATAAAGCATAGGAATGGAGAGGAGATCATGTGTCACGATAAAGGATATTGGATAAAAGATATGGAAGACAATATTATCATTATCTGCCTGCCCCATCCAGTTATGTCTCTCCACCTATCTCCACTTACTTAATTACCCACATTTACGTATTCAACTTAACAACGAACGTACGTACACAAACACACTATTGGATCATATACGATCGATATGATGTTAAATAATATATATGGTTTAGTTATTTTGTTTAATTACCTAAATATCTAGCAATGTTTTCAAACCCTACTCGAGTTCACGGTAGAGATTGTAAATCCAACAACCTGGTCAGTAATCTGGTCCATAAACAATGCTCGAATCTGCTAATTATAAATTCAGTATAATCCACACACAAAAAAAACTCAAGAATGTCTGCATTGACCCGTGATCTGGTAATACTGGTTGAACCGATCATTTTTGAAAAATGTTGTTTAGGTTTTCTTGTAGATAATATATTGAGTAAGAATACGTTTTATGAGATTTTTTATTTGATGAAAATTTCACTATGCCACTTGAAAAAAAATTGAGTGGAATGCGATGAAAATGACCAAAGATTGGTTGATGTATGCGTTACTAGTTTATTTTCTACATATAATTTACTATTATTTTTGTTTTTTCATAATTTGGATTTTGAATGTTTAATAATATTATTAGGCGACATATTCTCAAGGTTTGTTTTTTTTTTATGTTTATAAAAGCTATATATAATGGTATTTTTTATTATTAATTTATGATATGCAGTCGATTTGATGATACAAATTTAGTTGTAATATAGGTCTTTCCAAATCAGATTTGTAAAATTTTAGGAATATGCAAAATAATACTAGAGGTGGAATCTATCCAGATATCTTGAATTTAGTTGATTTATGAATTGGTTTGTTTGCCATTGTGGTATTGGTTGCTGTGAAATTGGTTTTGCTTTCATAATATTACATTTTGGGTTAAGAGTTCTTCATTATAAAAAGAAAACTTTTGGAATCAAAATGTTTAGGTTAGATTATTGGGGCTCAATCAATATTATTAAAAGAGAAGCATTTTTGTGTCCAAACAGAATTTTCTTTATTTAAGATTACCATGTTTTTAGATAATTGTTAATCATGTTGTCAAACAGGTTAATTCAGTTAAATATTAATAAAAAATATTTATTTTATATATATATAATTTTAATTGATTATTTTAGATTTTCTTATAGATTAAATTTACAAAAATAATAAATCAGATATTAATTTAGATTATATCTTTAATATTATAAAAATTTTAATTTACAAAAAAATTATATCTAAAAAAAATTATATCTATAAAAATAGATATTTTTTACGTATTAAAAATATATCTATAAAATTAATTATATCTAAACTCAAAAATATAAATTATATTACAAAATTTGATTGAAAAAAAGAATTCCAGTATGGATGCACGGGATAGAATCTAATTTGGTATTAATATTTTAACCTGATGTTATTCTTTGCACAGTAAATCGTGAACTGACCTTAACACTAACATAACGTGAAGTCTGTTCTTGTGTGCTAAAGTTCGATGAACAGTAAAGCATGCACCGACCATAACTATATAACAATATGGAGCTTTGTCTAATTACAGCAAAGAAGAAAAAACAATAAAAGAACAATATTTGAAAGAAAAAAAAACATTTGGACAAGAACTTTCCATCGACATTGCTGTTTGGAATTCGGTGGAGAAAGGAAAGTGCCTTTAGTGGTACATAAGGAATAATGTGTTTTCTATATAGCACATTTCATGACATGTGTCCCAATTTTGAAACCTTAGTTCAAGCTTTTGTGATTAATTAAAAGAAATTGTTTCGTTGAACAACACCACTAATAATATTTATCCAGAATTGAAGATAAAACGACACATAATAGTAGGTTCACAATAATATGCAGAGAAAAATCCAATATTAAAGTAAAGCCGTGCCAACACTCGATTGATCACTGGAATATTCATGATGAGAAATTAAGATATCCCCATTTTTATTTTAAAAAAAATTCAGTAATCAAGAAGAAGACTAATTGATAAATCCTATGAACTTTTGAGAATAGTGAATCGGCTTTTATACGTAGATGGTCATAACAATATTTAGCAAAAGCAAGTTTTACAAGTTGGTGTCTTCTTAATTTAACAAACCACGTTTTATTAACTAAACATCAAACGCTAAGTTAAAGAATTACTTAAAAATTATATATTTCTATAGAAAATCATTTCATGTTAGTTGAAATCATCATCTTCGGATTTTAATTTATGTTTACCATCCCAACATAACCTAGTGAGTTGAACCAAGCCCAACTAAATTTTGTTTGTTTTGGTTTTTGTTCGTTTTGGAGTTCTGAACTGATAACTCTTTAAAGTTAACATCAGTTGATATTTTGATTTTGATTTTTAATTTTCCCAAACCAACTTATAGAACTATACTGAATCCTTTCAAAATTTACTAAAATGTATGGCTTTGAGTTAGAGGTCTGAATCAAGCCGAATGGTTCGATTAACCTGAATTCTCAAGCCTAATAGATGTTTCAAATGGTAAAATATATTTCATAAGTATTGGAGATAAGCTTAGACTTGATTTCGATTATAAAAACAAAAGGAAAAAAAATAACTAAGAGATGCATAAGAGTCTTCTCGTTTCATGATTAACTTATGGGCCTAGCTCTCATTCCACACAAATACATACTCCTAAGTAGCCTTTTCTACCAACCACTCCCTTTTTTGTTTAACTTTATTTTTGAAAAGGACCTTTTTCTCTTCCCAATTATAAGTGAACAATTGGATCACTTAATTTATTGCTATTTATCCTCTCAGCCAATTAGGTTTCAACATTCTCAAAGTTCATTTTAGTTACTTTCTATCAGACTAATCAAGTATCAATATCCACTAAACTACTATGATCTACCAAATTACCTTCAAAGCTTAACAAAAAGTCATATTCGCAATAATATATGTCACAATAATTATAACGTTATTAATAATTTTGACTGGTTTAGGATGACGCGGTTCCTATAGGATTATAGGAAATGAAATATATTTCTAAATATGACATTAAGTTTGACCAAAAACACACCATCTTCAATTTGACAAAATCTAAAAGAATTAAATTATTAGGTCAGCGTGACGTTGAGATATAGTAATACACCTAAGTGATGTCGACATATGTGTTATCTGCCAAGACATGATTCAGACATTCGGTTTCGATAAAGGTTATTTTCTATGGTTTCCTCCTATCATTCCGTATTCATAATGAGTCTCCACTCATATAATCCCTAGAAACATCAATTATGTCTATTCTGAGAGATTCTTACAAAATTACCATATCTACAATAATAAGTAGGATGAGTTTGCTAAATGAATATACAGTATGTGAATTCTATTTGAGAAACACATGAGGTAAAATCGTAAATGAATGGTATTTTCGCATGTAATTTATAAAAAAAGCGATATGATATAAATAGTATGATATATGTTAAAAATACATGTAGATTTTTTTTTGAGAAAAAAATACATGTAGACTTTATGGCTTTATGCTAAAGAAACATGTGCAGTAAATTATCTAACTTGTTATACTGCAATCTGTATTTTTTTTCAAAAACATATATGATCATTTAGTGCATATTGTAAAAAGTAAAAGGATTTACGTTCGTAACTAAAATTTCCCAACTAAAACTATTTTGTAAAACTCAAAATACTCTTATCTTAAATATTTACTATTTTATCTAGTAATCTATTAAAAATAAAAAACATTTAGGGTTGAGTTTTTTTTTTTTTTGAAAAAATTACAGATTTTAACTCATTCGTTAAACCGTGAAGTTCCTGTTAAACAATTTAGAAAACATGATTTATAAACCACAGTTTACCAGACCCGAAATTGATTCAAAAACCCAAAATGCAGATCCTAAAGATGATGTACGATCTTTGGGTCTCAACCCTTAATACATGATTCCATAGAATTTCCCCGATAACCAATAACGTATTCGAAATCTCTGTTATATATTTATGATCTTTAGGTTCTCTAATTCATTCGAATTCAAACTTAATCTACTTTCCTTTTCCTAGGATCACCGTACACAAAAGTGCCATCACTTTCAATTAAAATAATAAGATGTGCATGCGCATAAATTTGTAAAGCATATCGCTTATGAGTCATGACCGTCTAAAGTCAAAATTTAGGACCTTAAAAATTGACGTACAAAGAAACGGAGAATAACTAAAAATGAATCGTATATTAATTTCTGGTTGGAATCCAAGTCTTTGTTACTCGTATTCTACGGTATTAAATTACAAGCTAAAGCAACCTTTTTTTAGATTTTGCTAAGTGAAGATAAAGGCATAGAGATGTATATGAGCTACCTTATTTCTTTCTTACAAATGCTTCTATATCCTCTCATCAATCATATTCATTATTTTGTTATTCTGATTATTTTTTAAGTGACATCAAAATCACAAGAAAATTTTGTATCTACCCTTATGATCTTTAGAATGTAAATTTGGTGTCACCAGTTTTGAATAGTAGAACCATTTTAGTTCTTTTATTTATTGAAAAAAGGTTTTCAGAGTTTTGATCCATAGTTTCCTAAAATGATAACATACACAATGTGCTTTGTTGCTTTGTATCCCAAGTTCAATTCGTCAATAAACATCTATGAAAATATTATATGCCTCTAAAGACTAAAGTCAATATGTGTGTAATGTAATCGATAGAGTAAAATTTTATTTTTAGTGACTGTAAGCCTGAACACGTGGAAGTATGGAACCTAAAATACAAAGCAAAATGGACAAAAAAAACACAATTATGACGATACATAGACACAATCCTCTCTAACTTTTTTGTCTGTACAAAATAAATATATATATATATATATATATATTTTATTTGTTTCTAATTATCTCTCACGTTAAACGTTCTTTCAAATTTCCCACCCAAATATTAGAGTAAAGAAGAGGTATTTGAGGTTTTCTATCCCCCTCATAGTTTCCATTTTACAAAAGTGAGTATAAATTCAAAACAACCCAAAAGTGGAAGAACTCTGAGGAATATCATCATTTAGCAGCAAATCCCAATTGCTAAAGCCATCAACATCCCATACGCTCATCATATTGTTCTCTATAATGTTGTCCACACCATTATTATTATCATCATTACCATAATCCGACCATTCGAAATCCGGAAACTGCAAATCTTTTAAGAAACTCGAATCATTAGAGGAATTCGAAGACGTGCATGTGGATGAAGACATTGCAGAGTTGCTGCCGATAAGCTCTATAGACTCTGGATCAATCAGAGGGACTTCTTCTACGCCATACTCAAGGTTTATCGCCATGAGCTGATCATTGTAACTTAGGGACATGTTCTTGCTGTTGTTGCTGTCTTTGGTAAGACAATAACTAGTTGGTCCTCCGAGAGGCTGCTCGATTGGTTTCTCCAGCTTCTTTACGGGTTCTTCATCTTCTTGTTCAACGATGGAGAGTGGTTTATGAGTGAGAGGATCTATCCCCATTTTCCTTAACTTCTTCTTTATGTGAGTGTTCCAATGGTTCTTGATTTCGTTGTCTGTTCTTCCTGGTAAATGAGAAGCTATCTTTGACCACCTTCACGTACAAAAGAAAAAACCATCTCAAAACATCTCAGAAACATCTCAGAAGTTATCTTATTGTATAAAAGTTTTGATTTTGATGTTACCTGTTGCCAAGCTGAGAATGGAGGTCAATGACCATCTTCTCCTCGTAATCAGAGAGAAGACCTCGCTTAAGGTCTGGTCGGAGATAATTTGTCCAACGAAGTCTGCAACTTTTGCCACACCTGAGAAGACCAGCGAGCTTAGGAACAGCTCTCCAGCAACATTGTCCATTGGTGAGGATGAAGTTTATGAGCTTCCTGTCTTCTTCAGCAGTCCATGGTCCTTTCTTCAACCCTACTTTGTCACAGCATGGTTGTCTCCCCATTTCTCTTTCTCTCTTTTCTTCTGGCTCTTTCTAAAGACTCTGTTTTGATCAATGAATAAAACAGAGGATATACTCTGTTTTTTGTTCTCTAATCTCTCTTTATCTTTCTGTCTCTCTTCTGACAGAGTAAATGTTATTGCAAGTTGAAGACAGAGAGTTGGGTGAGCTTGGCAACCACCTATATATATGCATACAGATATATGTATGTGTGTGTATATCTATAGGTTATCAATAAAGATTAGAGAACAAAAAGAATGTAAGGATAAATTTGAGCACTAAGATTTATAATTCAACCTTTCCATCTCCTGGTTCACACAGAGGTGGTCCATTTTCCCTTTTTCTTTTTATTTTACCATTTCTTCTTATGTTTTTATATAAATTCATTGATATGGGAATAATGATAATAAAGCTTCATTTCTTTATTGTTACTTGTTATCTTTGGATAATTTATAGATATTGTGTTTTGTCTGCGTGTGTGTATAAACATAATAACATATATAATAAACATAATAACATATACTAGGTGATTACATCCTGTGTGGGATAAATATTAATCATAATTTTTTATTTAAATATACAAATATAATATATATAAATACAATTAAAAATATTAACTGATATTTATAACTGCAAATTTATACACTAATTATACAATTACAAATAATAGTTACAATTACATTTATTTTGTAGTATAATTGCATAGATGCTAGATAATTGTTGATTAATTAACTTTAATAATATCTTTTATATGAATAAAATTGCACATTTGAATATACTAAATTAAATTAATACATTTTATCTAACCGGTTCAACATCAGACTAAGATAATTAAATTTTTAATAGAAAAAAAAAATTAATCATAATATGCATGAAAAAATTAAATTTTTTTATTAAATGGATAATGTAATTTTATTTTTTTAGAAAATTAAGATAAAAAATAAGATACATAAAGAAATATAATGTTTAGTAACCAAAGTAATTATGTATTAATGTTTTTATAAATGTGTTGTTAAGAAATAGAAAGAATAAGAATATTTTTACAAATTAAATATTAAGTATTAAATATAAAATTGATATAAACTAATCTCTAACCAAATTAATCCTAATGGCAAATGATGTAATTACTCTAGTAAATCAAGTATTTTTTTATATGTGTTTTGAGAAACTCTCTGATAATGACACATCAGCATGACATTTTTGTAAATCACAGATGACATAAATATCATTTTTAAATTGTCCTTCTCAAATAATAATAAAAGATATATATATATATATATATATATATATATATATATATATAGAAGCCTACTGGTTAATGGGTTAATTAATGCTTCTACATCAAGAGATCCAGAGTTTGATTCCTGGAAAATGTGATTTATTTTAAACACTCCTAAAGTTTTTTTAAAAATATTTTATATATATATAAATTTAATTCCAAAAATTAGATATTAATTTAAACAACTAAAAATTTCCTTAAATATAAGTTATATCTATAGTCTATAGATATTAATTTAAATAAACTTCCTTAAATATAGGTTAGATTTAATTTAACATTTGAAATTTAAATAAAATTTTCAGAATAACACATATGATCAACAAATATCTTATTATATTTTTTAATCATATTCTATCAGATTAAAATTTTACATATTGAAAATAGATAAATATTAATATTATATAATAATTTGATGGAACAAGTTAAGTGTTTTTTTATAATTATAGTCTTATCCGGGTTAGGTTATCAAAGCATGCAAGATATTAGGAGAAAATTATTTTAAAATTAGTAAATATTTATATTATAAAGTAATATAAACGGGCGGGTTAGAATTATGGTTTCATAATCATGGTCTTTTTCGGATTAATAAAATAAGCGAGTTAAAAATATATTTTTATAATAACGATCACTTTTTGATTAATAAAATAACCATATTAAAATTATGTTTTTATGATCATGATGGTCATAATAATATTGAAAAAAATTATATCTAAACACAAAATTTTTTTATATCACTTATTAAAAAATTGTATTTAGAAAGAAAACGTAAATTAGATTACAAATTTTGATTACAACAAAATTCCCGTATGGATGCACGGGGTAAAATCTAGTTATGTGATTAAAATACAAAACAATTTAGCAATGGTGGGTTATCACACTCTTTTTGGTCTGTTGATACTCTTTTATGACACAATTGAAAAAATGAATCAAAGGAATCTATATATACATCCGAAGCGGGTATGTGGAACAGTGGAAACGTGGAAATGAAACATTTGAAAACACGAAAGCGGTTTTTTATGATACAATTGAATTTGTTTAAATAGTTAAGATTTTTTATATAAGTCAAAAAATCTAAGTGAATTTTTTTATATGTATTAAATTTTCTTTTTTTAGATGTGTCACAATTTGATTTGATATATTGGCTGATCGTGATTATTTTTACTACAACATCAAGTTTTTTAAATAAGAAAAACATATTTTCGTGTCAAATTAGTTTATTTATTGTGTGGTTCTCAAGTAGCTCGTGCTGGATGTCCAAAAAAAAAAGTTGCTCATGCTGGTCAACTACGAACACGACACGTGGAATGAACAGAAGAGAGGAGTGGACGTTTTGGTTGGAAAGCGCCACCCCATCCGCTTTTCTTTGCTTCCGGTTAAATCCTCAAAATTCGCTCTCGTGCGTCCTCAAAACGGAAAAATTATTTATTAATTTCACAAAAAGATAGCTAAGGAAACTTTTTTTTTTTTGAACATTTAAGGAATTTATTGTTGGGGCATGTTTATTATTTAGACAGCATTAATTAAGAAATAGATATGCGAAACAATTATTGAATGAGACGTTATTGAATTCACCATAGCAGTTTTTAAATAGCATTATATTCCTAAATGAATTGAATTTACTTTTTTTTTTTAAGTAACTATTAAAATTTATAGACACGAATGTGAAGCTATAGAAAGAGAAATAAAACCGTTATTTTGATTCTCTCAGTTTTTTTTTAAAATTCGTTTTCTTCATCAATTTATTTAAATTATATTTTCTTCGACATTTGAATTGTGTTTAGATCTTTTTTTCTTAAACTCTTAATTCTACTATTCCTATAAAATTAGTTTTTACTTTCTTTTTTTTTTGTTTTCTACATCGACACATTGATAAAAAGAAATATAAATATTTCATCTATTCTTTTTATAGTTTCATAATATGAGAAAATCTCAATACCAATTTATTTTCAGAAGCTTAGAGAGTTTATCTTCCTATTTTCACAAGCTGAGAGAGAGTTTATCAATATAACTTCATTTATGTTTCATTTTCTATTTTATCTTCTTTGAGACATAAATTATTAGCAGAAAGAAAATTTATGAACGATGTTCTTTTTTAATATTTTTTTAGGTTAAGGATTAGTAATTATATACTATCTTTTATTTTTCTTTTATGTTAAAGATTAGTAATTATAGACTTTTTTTTCTTTCTCCTGCAACCAACGACGAGACTTCCAAATATTTAGTCGGAGTCAGATACAATGTAACAAAAGAAAAAGCTTCTCCCTGAAACGTTTATTCCTTTTTTTTTAATGGGAAAAGAAATTAGGCTAGTCAAAGCTCTTGAATTCTCCATTCCTATTTATAAGGCTCTGTTTTCATCAACTTATTTCTATAATTTACGAGCAAGAAACCGTTCTCTAGCCGCTTCAATCCTATTATCGACATTTTCAGTATCTGCAAGTTGTTTCTGTATTGTTGTTCCTAGACAACTCCGTGTCCTCATGTTCTTTGAAAGAGCTAGCCGGTCCACCACTCAATTTTCTCGATCTTTCTTTTGATGGGAGCTATTCTATTTCACAAACATTACCGTGAATGGTTATGTAGTCGAAATCAGCTCATGGTTGATGGTACGCTATATAATTAGGCCACATTCCTTCGTTGTTGGTAGTCAGCACAGATGAGGGATGCACTAGGGCTTGAAGCTAAGAGTCCGGTGAAGATGTAGCTGTGCTTGATGCAGTTGCTGTACAAGATGGAGTGAAGAATGAACTGCCACAAGCATGGAGTACGTGACAAGTGAAGCTCCCGGAATGAAGAGTCAGATGAGCAGCTGAGCTGGACTAGAAGAAATGGAAGTCTTGAAGAAAAAGCAAAGCTGGATGGGAATAACGGAGCGGATCAGGAAGAATGGAAGATTTCCTTAAACAAAAAAAAGTTTAAGGAAATAGGAAATATACATCAAGCGACAAAAATGGAAGCTGTGGTGTAGGGTTTTTGGAATGTAGAGCCGCTGAGTCTACTAGGTATAAGTAGACGTGTTGAAGCCTTGTAGAAGCTTAACACAACTACTAGAGAGCACTTAGCATAAGGGTGAGAGATTTAGAAGTGAGAGTCTGCATCAAGGGTTAAGGGTTTTTCTAAGGGAGTTCTGAGATCAAGTATCGATGGAAAAACAGAGAGAGCTAGGGAGACAGATCAAGGTGTGTCTTGAGTCTGTACCAAATAGTGTTACATCTTGTAAGGTGTGTTAACAGATTTACTAGCAATAAAGTTCAAGTTGAAAGAAAAATCTTGTGTTAAGTTGTGTTGTTGTTCTTGATTAGTGGCTCTAGCGTTTACATTTGGTATCAGAGCGGTCATCTGTATTTTGCAAACAGGTGAGATCCTGCGGAGATGGGGAGCTATCAGGAACTTGTGAACCATTCAAAAGTGATTTTGAATGCTGAAAACTACGGCTTCTGGAAGGCAAGGATGAGATCGCTCATTAGAGGAATTGATCCTTTGGTATGGAAGTTGGTCTTGGTTAAGTGGGAAGAGCCGAAACAGAAGAATGACTCTGGAGCTGATGAGCCTAAACCTGAAGAAGATTGGTCGGAAGACAAAACGAAGAAGTTTAAATACAACTCAAAAGCACTGACGGCTATTCACTGTAGCATATCAGCTGAGACGTTCAATCTAATTCAGGGATGTGAGACAGCCAAAGAAGCTTGGGACATACTACATATACAGTTTGAAGGAACTACCAAAGTTCAGAACTCAAAGAAGGACATGCTAGCTTCACTTTTTGAAAACTTGAAGATGGAAGAGCATGAAACCATTGCTGATTTCAGCTCCAAGCTGAGTTCTCTGACTCAGGAGGCTGCCACTCTTGGGAAGCATTACAAAGACAAAAAACTTGTGAAGAAGTTTCTAAGGTGTCTTCCTTCCAAGTTCATGGGGTATAAGTCAGTCCAGAGTGTGAATCAGGATACTGAATCTCTAAGCTTTGGAGAGATTGTTGGGATGCTACAGTCTCACGAGATGGAACTGAACGGTGAGAAGAAGCAGAAAGGGTTGGCACTGTCATCGGTCCTTGAGACAAAGTCATCAGAGGAAGAGAAGTGTGAGGATGCACTAGGGCTGCTGGTGAAGAGGTTTGACAAGGCACTAAGACGAGCTGAGAAGACATATGATCAGAAGAAGGTTGTACCAGCAAGACGGACAAAAGAAAGCAGTGAGAGAAGGGGTGATGTTCAATGTTACAAATGCAAAGGTGTTGGGCATTTCAAGACTGAGTGTCCTACTCTTAAGAGGAGGGAAATTCAGTGCTTCGGATGCAAGGGTTTTGGTCACACACAACTGGAATGTGTTAATGATCAAAATCGAAGGAAGGAGAGATCCATGCTGGCCGAGGAGGATACCAGAGATGACAGTAGTGAAGGCACTGTGGAGGAAGTTAACAACTTCGTCTCATTCATAGGCATTGCTGAATTTGATGAGAATATGGCTGTGACAGATGCTGAGTCGGAAGTTGGGGCTGATGATGAGCTGAGTTAAAGCTACAAAGAGGTTCGTGAGACTCTGATCAAGATTGGAAAAGAGAACGCTGACTTGAAGAAGGAGAATCTTCTACTTGAAGAGAAGGTGGAAGAGTTGCAGAGAGAACTGGAAGCAGCTCAGAAACTGAGTAAAGAAAGTGTTGCATTGATCAAAGACAAACTGAACCTGGCAAAGAAGGCTGAACAACTGGAGCACGATCTGAGTCAGGACAAAGGTATTTCAAACAACCTGATGGGAGAGCTTATTGAGCAGCGCAAAAAGATTCACATGTTTGCTGGAACTAAACAACTTGATCAGATCTTAAGCTATGGGAGGAGGTCTGACGTTCGTAGAGGACTGGGTTACAATGTTCGAACCATGGTTGAAACAGGTACCACAAAGTTTGTGTCAGGAGGTACTACTCGATCACAAGAAATGGGCAACAGGGCACAAAATACCACAGTTAAGAGCAACACCGCTGCGTCAACCTCAAGAAACGAAGGTTTACCAATGAGACTGAGTGGATGCTTCTACTGTGGAAAACCAGAGCACATTAGAAATCACTGCTACACTACACGAAAAACATCATTTTACAACGGCCGAAATGGTCGTTATTTCGTCGTAATAGGGCCATTACGACAGACTACCGACGATTTCGAAATCGTCGTAAAGTCATCGTCGTAATAGACAAATCGTCGTAAAATCGTCGTATAATATACGACGGTTTTGTTTCGTCGTAACGTCGAGAGAAACAAAATCGTCGTAAATACGTCGTACAGTTTACGACGAGTTTACATCGAATTGCGTCGACTTGGTCTTCGCCTGGACCGTCGTTAAGTGGTCGTTAATTGTCGACGTAAGATCGTCGTAAAATGTACGACCGTCGTAAATCAATCGTAAAGTATTTCTTCATTGCGTCGTAAAATCGTCGTAACTCTCGGACGTATAATCGTCGTATTTATCGTCGTACATTGTAGTCGTAAATTCGTCGTAATATTTACGACGAATGTACGACGATTTTAATAAATCTATTACGACGATTATACGACGTTTAATATAATTGAAAAAAAAAAAAAAAATAATTCGAATTAAAATTTAAATAAAAAAATAATTTACAATTTAAAATTTATGAAAATTTGAAATTAAAATTAATTGTAATTTACAAAAAAAAACTCTACAGATCTAAATCTAAATCTAAATCGATCCCGTCGATCCCGTCACCGGCCTCCTCCCCATCGTCCTGGACGTGTTCCTTGCCGGGTCTTCAGTTTGATGCTTCCGCCGGCGCCTGATCTCCGGCTCTAAGAGGCTCAAACCCGAGAGATCGGAACATCTTCTCGTCCGTCTGCACCGGCGGTTGCGTCCTAGTGGATGACCCGGCGGCAGACGATCCGACAACCCTATCAGCCCGCAGCTTGTCCAACTGCGCCATGAGTACCGGGTTGTCGGCTCCCATGATCTCGAAGAGACCGTAGAGCTGGTCGATCCTCGTCTCGTACCGGGTCTGCATCTGATCGATCTTCTGGCGGATAACCGGATCCGGGACTCGGGGTATCACGGATGGACCCCATCCCTAATACCCGCCCCTTTTTCTTTGGCGCAACCTACAAATATTTAAAAACATTATGGTTAGAAATATAATTTAAAACTAAAGTTACATTAATTAAATATAGTAATTAAAATTACCTTTTCGAATATCTGGTCCATCTCCGCCACCGTCAGCGCCGGGGTCGATTAGACCGAGCTAGCTCTGGGAGACGTTTGACGCGCCTGCTGAGTCAGCTGCGTCTGTCGCTCCTCGATCGCCGCACATGCGGCGTTGTAGATCTCCTCCGCCCGAGGATCCGTGAATTCGCCGTTATGCTTTTTATGCGTCTCGGCGAAAACCTTCGTCATCGGAGGAAGTTCTCCTCCGTTATCTTCGACCTACAAAATCAAAATGAAAAAAATTAATTAGTATCAAGAAATAAGAGTTAATTATTTGAAAACAAAAAAATTAATAATTTTAATTTACTTACCATCATATGCCGTCTTCCGGCAAAAAGAATCTGGCCGGAAGTGTGCGGGACGTTCTTCCGATTTCCCGCATCGTCAGTAGCGTTCCTGAAAAATATTTTGATTAGAATCTATTATAAAAAAAAAATAATGTAAATATTATTGAAATTAACTACGACTTACCTAGATCCGGAACACTTGGCGGCCGTAGTCTGGTTGTGCGGATCCAACCAGTATTGGACAAGGCCCCGCCAGACGGTATTGGACATAGACGCCGGCTTGGCCTTGTCGCCGTCAACCTCCCACTTCCGTTTCCAGTCGGAAACGGTGTTGTTGACGCGGAATTTGACCTTCTCCTTGAAGGTCGTCTCCACACGTCCGTGTGCGGATGTTTCCCAATGCCAGTTTTGCTAGGAAAAAAAAAAGAAGTTAGTAATTATTTTAAAAAGTTAAAATTTAAAATTAAAATTAAACGAAATGGTAAATTACTTACCGCAAAACACTTGAACCAAGTGTCAAGTGTGGCCTGATCCAGCTTCTACCAGCTGGTATGGGGTTGTACGAAAAACCCCTTGATGATATCCGCAACGTTACGACCGACTGCATTGTCGGTCGTAAACCTAGTCAAATGGAAAGAAAAAAGTAGATTAATATCAAATATATAAGAATAAATATTTATTAATGTAAAAATATTGTAGGAAAAAAATTACGTACCAATAGGTGCCGGGGGCTCGATCCGGGTCGAGTTTGTTCATGGTCCCACGACCGGGTTGTGCCAGAAGATCCTGTACCGTAAACTAGGCATACGGTACAGGCGGGATCGGATCAGCCTCAGGCTTGGCCTGTGCGGGAGCCGCTGGTTCGGCTGGTGGTGGTGGAGGCGGTGCCGGCTGCGGAACAACGACCGGTTGGGAAACCGTCCGTTGTGTTCCCGAGGACTCCGGGATGGCTGATCCGGTCGCCGAGGTAGACGGGGCCGTACCGTCAGAATCGACGAGCTGTCGGTAGTGAAATCTCTTAGCCTGAGGAGCCATCGAGACAGAATCTACAAAATTTTAAAAAATTTGTTACTAATTTTTCAAATATTTATTAAAATTTACAAAATCCGGGTCTATCTAAATTCTGAAACCTAAATCTAAATTCCGAACCTAAACCTAAATCTAAATTCCGAACCTAAATCTAAATTCCGAACCTAAATCTAAAATAATATGTAATGAAATTAATTTAAAAAAAAACTTACAACTTTTGGCTGTGAGAGTAGGGAGAGAGGGAGTGGTTTAGGGATTAGAGAGAGAAAGTATTGTAGAGAGAGAGGGGAGAAGAGAGGAATGAGCGACGAAAGGGGGAAATCTCGCGTCCCTTATATAGATTTTGTGATCGTCGTAAAATCGTCGTAACTTTACGACGGTTTTACGACGATTTGGTTGTAGAACAGTCGGTCCACTGCATGACATGACACGTGTCGTGATGGGAGCATTTGACCGTTACGACGATTTTACGACGGTTTAGGGTTAAATCGTCGTAAAACCGTCGTAATGTCTAAACATTTATAACCTCGTACCTCGGATCAAGAGCATATCCGGTGCAAACGTTACGACGGTTTTGGGTTTAGTCGTCGTAAAACCGTCGTAAATTTACGATTATATTACGACGGTTTTACGATGTTTTTTTAAAAAAGTGAGTAAACCCTAAATCTTATAAATGGGATATTGCATAAAGAACAATGCAAAGGTTATTGTATCCTAACATATAATAAAAGGTTTACAACTTTGCATGTATGATGGATTTATGACATGAGATAGTAAAAAAATGAAATTCCGTAATCTAATATATAACCTTTCACTTAACATTTACGAAAACATGCATGAACTTGTAAATATGTATGTTTTTTTTCAAATTTTTGATTTTGATCAGATTGATAGCATTTCATATAAAATAAGATAACCAATCAAAACACAATTGTGAAATACCTTACAACCAATAAGATATAAA